TACAGTAAGTAAAAAGCAAATCAAGGATCCTGGTTCTTTAGTATCCCATGGCTAATAATCAATTTCTACCAATGCCCAATAGCAAAACAAATATATTTTATTGATTCTAATTGATTTTTTACAGAGAGGAATAGAGAGTTAGAAACATCGATGAGAGAGAAACATTGATCAGCTACCTCTTGCATACCCCCTACTGGGGATGTGCCCGCAACCAAGGTACATGCCCTTGACCAGAATCGAACCTGGGACCCTTCAGTCCGCAGACCGACGCTCCATCCACTGAGCCAAACTGGTCAGGGCTGTTTATTCTTTAAATTATTTATTTACTTAATTTTAAAAGATATTTGATTGATTTCAAAGAGGAAGAGAAGGAGGGCACTTGAAACCTGAGTAATGACAGACTCATTGATCAGCTGCTTCCTGCACACTGGAGATTGAGTTGGCAACCTGTGCATGTCCCCTAACAAGAAATAGAATTTTTGTCTCCTAGGTAATGGGTTGATACGTAATCACTGAACTGCACTGCACAGCTTTTTTTTTTTAATATATTTTATTGATTTTTTACAGAGAGGAAGGGAGAGAGATAGAGAGTTAGAAACATCGATGAGAGAGACATCAATCAGCTGCCTCCTGCACATCTCCCACTGGGGATGTGCCCGCAACCCAGGTACATGCCCTTGACCGGAATCGAACCTGGGAACTTTCAGTCCGCAGGCCAACGCTCTATCCACTGAGCCAAACCGGTTTCGGCTGCACAGCTTTTATGTATTGATTTTCGAGACAGGAAGGGAAACAGAGAAAGAGAGGGAAACTGATCTGCTGTTCTACCCATCTAAGCATTTATTGGCTGTCCCCTACATGTGCCCTAGAAAACCCACATCCGTGGTCCATCGGGACCACACACTCAACAAGAGAGCTACATGGCCAGGGCTCTGAATTTGTTTATTAATTTCAGAAGCTCATATGGGATCTTGACCAATTTCTCTATGGAGGGTCATGTCGTCTCCTAACATCAGCATCTCTTATGATGCTTTGTGGTTCATAGTGTCAGGTATAATGTCTTACTTTTCATTTCTTTTTTCATTTATTGGAGGCTTGTTTTTGTTTTTTGCTTTATTCTAGCTTTAGTTTTGCCAATTTTTGTATGTTTTAGAAAAGTACCTGTAAGTATTTTATTTTTTTATCTCCCTTTTATTGATGCTTTTTCAAAAAGTCGTTGTTTAAGGAAACAATAACTTTGCAACCTTTGGATTTACTTTCTTATTTTGAGCCTATATTCCTGAGATGGCAGGTCAGTTTTTTTTCGGATCTATTTTTATAATGTGGCATTTATCCCTATAACGTTTCTTCTTAGAAATGCGTTTTACGAATTTTATACATGATTTGTAATAGCTAGTCTTTTTATTTACTTTTCCTCTAGACATTTTTGAGTTCTGTCTTTTGTTTGGCTACCTTGACATTCTTTTCTATTTATTTATTATTGGTTTCAGATAGAGTGGAAGAGAGATGGAAAGAGAGAGTGAGAGAGAGAGAGAGAGACAGAGAGCGAGAGAGAGAAAGAGAAACGTCAGTGTGAGGAGAAACATCAGTTGGCTCCCTCCTACACACAAATTAACTGGAAATGTAACCCACATACTGATATGTGCCTTGACTTGGGAATTGAATCCTGGACCTTTTCGTACACAGGACGATGCTCCAACCAACTAAGCCATACTGGCCAAGGCATTCTGTGGTTCTTTTTTTTTTTTTTTTATGTTGAATCATACTTTTATTGCAAGCATAAATCCCACTTGATCATGGTGTATGATCTTTTTAATGTACTGGTTTTTTTAAAAAATATATTTTATTGATTTTTTTTACAGAGAAGAAAGGAGAGAGATAGTCAGAAACATCGATGAGAGAGAAACATCGATCATCCGCCTCCTGCACACCCCCAACTGGGGATGTGCCCGCAACCAAGGTACATGCCCTTGACCGGAATCGAACCTGGGACCTCTCAGTCGGCAGACTGACGCTCTATCCACTGAGCCAAACCGGTCCCGGCTTAATGTACTGTTTTTTAAAAATATATATTTACTGATTTCATAGAGGAAGGGAGAGGGAGAGAGAGATAGCAACATCAATGATGAGAGCAAATCATGGATTGGCTGTTTCCTGCACGCCCCTTACTGGGGATCAAGTCCACAACCCAGGCATGTGCGTTTGACTGGAATCAAACTGCAGGCTGACACTATCCACTGAGCCAAACCAGCTAGGGCTTAATGTACTGTTGAATTCAGTTTGCTATTTTGTTGAGTATTTTTGCTTCTATATTGGCAATATTGGCCTGTTTTCTTTGCTTGTGATGTCATCATCTGGCTTTGTTATCTGGACAATGCTAGCTTCATAGAATCCTCTTCAATTATTTGGAAGAGTTTGCTAAGGATTGGTATCAAATGTTTGGTAGAATCTACTTGTGAAACTCTGGTCCTGGGCTTTTCTGTGCTGTGAGGTTTTTGGTGATTGATTCAATCTTCTTACTCATTGTGGTCTGTTCAGATTTTCAATTTCTTTATAATTCAGTGTCACTAGGTTATATATTTTTAGGAATTTATCCATTTCTTTTAAGTTATCCAAATTGTTGGTGTATATTATTTGAAGAATAGACCACTATGGTCAGTGATAGCAGAAGCACAGTAGCTGCTGGAGGTAACTCTGACCCTTGTTTTTGACTGCATGTATCTTCAAATATGTTTGTTGACCCAGTCTTTCCAGTCATTCTTTCTGTACAGTCCTACTTTATTTGTGTCTGTAATACTGTTTGTTTTCATGGTCCCCTTTTTTTTTAAAATTTTTTTTACAGAGAGGAAGGGAGAGGGATAGAGAGCCAGAAACATCGATCAGCTGTCTCCTGCACACTCCCCACTGGGAATGTGGCCACAACCAAGGTACATGCCCTTGACTGGAATCGAACCTAGGACCCTTGAGTCCGCAGGCTGATGCTCTATCCACTGAACCAAACCGGTTAGGGCGATGGTACTCTTATTCCCATTTCCTATGGGGTTTATGTTCATGGAAAGCTGTCTACTTACACTGGGATAGGGGAAGAAGCTCATATCTCTGATCCCTCCATCTTGCTGATGTCACTCACTTTGGTCTTTTGACTGTGATCTCATTTGTTCTTTGTTGTTCACCACAGTATTGACCCTCCATGTTCTTTGCATCATTTATCCCAAGCAATGCCTCAAATGGGATTGAAGGGGAAGAATCATTTGTGCATCACAGAAGAAACACCACTTTATGAATGACACAGTGGACCCCCAGGCGGTCTTGCCTTGGAGAAGGATCATTGGGGAGGAATTCTCCGCTGGCCTTTGTTACATTCATAGCTAGAAAGCCAGTGTTTTGTTACAGTCGCCCATTCCTCATCGAATTATGCTTGTTTGTGCTTATTGTTGATACTCTGCCAATTATTCAGTTCTAATTGTGATCATTTCTACTTAGATTTCCAGCTTAGGGATAACTTTAACCTCCCTGGATTTTGCACCTCTCCTACTTTCACAGGTCTCTCTTTACTGCAAGCCAATGTTGATCCATACCTGCAGCATTTTGGAGAGCACACATGTTATTTTACTGAACTTGTATATCCTGTGATCCAATACAATTACTTTTTATGTCTTTGAGCAACTTGAAATTATTCCGCATAGTCACACATGGTCAGAATGTAAGGTCCAAAGGGAAACCGTTTGTGCAAGAAGAAAGAGTAGAGCCTTCCTCTCTTCTTTGTATCTGCTCCTTTGCTTCTGTCCCTGTCTTGGTGAGATTTCCATCATCGACTGACTTTTGGAGCCACATTATTTATAAGAGCAGTTTTCTCACTGTCTAACTTTCTATGGAATCATGCCTAGTCAGGACAGATAAACAACCGTGGTGAAGATATTCTGTTTTTATCAGGTCAACATGCACTTCACCTACATTTCTTTTGTTCAGGTTGCTGCTGTGGAGCAGAGAATGTGGAGGCATCAAAAAAACAGAAGGTTTCTGTTGGACTGTCACAGGCGAGGAATCCCAAGTTAGCCTTGTCTTCCCGGAAGAGCCACCCCTGTGAGAGTTGTGGACTAGTCTTGGGAAACATTTTTCACGTGCTGGAGCTACAGGGAACACAACACGGACAGATACAGTTGAGGTGTGGAGCATGTGCAAAACAGTTTTACTTCATTGTAAAATTTCACCAGCAGCATGTGAGAGAGAAGACTCTCATTAGAGGGGTGGACAGGATCTCACTTGCAAACAGCTGCAATTTCAATGTGTCCCAGAATCGTTTCACCTGTGGGGAGGTTGGGCAGGGTGTCCTTACCGAATCAGGACATCTCCACCTAAAGGCCCCTCAGACCAGAAACAGTCCAAGTGCTATTTCAACATGTGGGATGATGTTTCAAAGGAGAGAAAATTGTTACACCAGAAAAGAATGTAAGAAAGACATTAGTTGCACCCACATGTTTATTCAGGAAAAAGTTGTCGATGTTGGAAGTCGATGTTTTGTGTGCTCTGAATGTGGGAAATCTTTTACAAGTAACTCTTACCTTCATTATCATCAGAGAGTTCACACAGGAGAAAAGCCTTATAAAGGCAGTGAATGTGGAAAGTTTTTTACAAGGAGCACTTGTCTCCAATATCATCAGAGTGTTCACACTAGAGAAAAGCCTTATCAATGCAGTGAATGTAGAAAAACTTTTACCACTAAAACCAACCTTCGTAGTCATCAGAGTGTTCACACAGGAGAAAAGGCTTTTCAATGTAGTGAATGTGGGAAGAATTTTACCAATAACAGCTGCCTTCGTCGCCATTGGAGCGTTCACACTGGAGAAAAGCCTTATCAATGTAATGAATGTGGGAAGAATTTTACCAATAACAGCCACCTTCATCGTCATCGGAGCGTTCACACTGGAGAAAAGCCTTATCAATGTAGTGAATGTGGGAAGAATTTTACCAATAACAGCCACCTTCGTCGTCATTGGAGCGTTCACACTAGAGAAAAGCCTTACCAATGCAGTGAATGTGGGAAATCATATAGAAGTAGCAACGGGCTCCAATATCATCAGACAGAAACTTTTACCACTATAACTAGACTTAGTAGACATCAGAGAGTTCATACTGGAGAAAAGCCTTATCAATGCAGTGAATGTGGAAAAACTTTTACCACTATAACTAAACTTCGTAGACATCAGAGAGTTCATACTGGAGAAAAGCCTTATCAATGCAGTGAATGTGGGAAAACTCTTACCACTAAAACCATCCTTCTTAGTCATCAGAGAGTTCACACAGGAGAAAAGGCTTATCAATGTAGTGAATGTGGGAAGAATTTTACCACTAACGGCAACCTTTGTCGTCATCGGAGCATTCACACTGGAGAAAAACCTTATAAATGCAGTGAATGTGGAAAGTTTTTTACCCAGAGATATTCCCTTCGTTGTCATCAGAGAATTCATACAGGAGAAAGGCCTTATAAATGCAGTGAATGTGGGAAATCTTTTACCCAGAGCACTCCCCTTCGTTGTCATCAGCGAATTCACACTGACTGGAGAAAGGCGTTATGAGTGCAATTAATCTGAGGTATCTCTCAGCCAAATTTCTAAATTCGTTCCCTGCATAAGAGTACAAATGTGAGGAATTTGTTAGATGTGTAGGAAATGTAGTTTCTTAGTTCGGACTTAACAATAATACAAGAAAATTTGTAAATCCTCATTTTTCTGAATTGTATCTCATACATTTAATCACCTATATTATGTAGAGTTCCGATAAGTGTTTTTGCTGTTGTGTGTGTGTGTTTTTATGTTGAAACACTATGTAATTATGTTACACTTTCTAACATACAGAGACATGTTGCCAGATCTATGTCACTGCATATTTCTGTTGCTGAAGGTATTTCACCTGAACCACCTATAAGGACCCTACAGATGGCATCAGTCACTATCCTCATGTCCCCAGGGAAGCTAACTCTGTTGTCTAATTTGTTGAAGAAAATTAAGAATACCTGAGCCCTTAGTTCTCCCTTGTTTCCCTGTCATGAGTTGTCACATAGGACTGATTTCTGTTGTCGCCAGTAAACATAATGTGGCAGAACTGCTATTTTTAGGGACACACTTTCCCTATATGCTAATGATGAGTTTATTGAGTGCCTCAGTCATCAATGATAGAACTGCCAGTCTTAGGCCTCTTTCTTTGCAAAATAATGAAGTTCCTTTTCCTAAGACATCTTTAATCTTGGATGTTCTATTTACTGTTTGGGTTAGTTTCTAAGGAAATCTAGGCTATCCAAGCATGATGATGTGAAAAACTTTTATGTGGGCTCAAACATTTTTGCCCTTGGGGGAAGACCATGGTGCAGAAATTAGCTCAGCAGTTTTTGCCAAATTTACATTGCTGCCCATAATTTCATAGGAAACACTGTGGACTCTAGTCCTCATGTGATGCTGGATGCTTTGAGACACAGAGATCACTCCAAAAAGGGGGCAGCTGTAACAACCTCAAGTATGTCTGGGAGCGTGATTTTTTTTTCTAGTTTGCAAGGGATGCCAATACATATTAAGGGAATCTCTTGCCCAGATCTTGCAGAGGGCCACGTGTCCTAATGTCTACAATTTCACGGGTGATGGTCACTAGTTTGAGGACCAGAAAAGTGATAGAAACCCTTTCACTGCAGAAACACTGACCTATTTGTTGTTGTGTTGGAAGCCAATTCCAGCATGTCAGCAGGGATGAATCACCTGGAAATGGCTGAGGGCATTTTCCCAAACCTGAAAAGAATGCATAAAATGATTGCTTGCTGCCAGACAGCTGAGGGCATTTCAGTCTACATGTTATTGCCTCCTGCTGGCCAAACACCTGAACAACTGA